TTTGATTGATGGCCAACAGGCAGCGAACAAACACGAAATCCGTTTTTGCTCGTTCATATAGACCACCATTGATGTGAATGTCGTGCATGCAGCGCTTTATTGACTGATAGGCTTTCTGCGGCATTCCGAGAAGCAATAGTTGCTGGGCCAAGAGCAGATCCACCAGGGCCAATTCGTAATCCATTTGAGATTCGGACATTTCCTCGGCCACACGAAGCAGCAGCATTGTAGTTTCACTTGAAAACCGACCCTCGGACATGCCACAATAACCAAGCATAACTTGGACCCTCATTCTCAGAAGGAATGGTAAGTTATCCTGCAAGGCCAGCTTGTCCAGGAGGCGCCTGGCATTGAAAAACTCGCGCTTGGCCACATATATAGATGCACGTTGGAATATGGAGTCAGAAGGATCGAGCAAATAAAGCTGATCGCAAGCTTTCAAAGCATCATGCCAACGACACTGGTAAATTCCCGCCTGAATGACCACATGGCATTGGCTTATCATCCAACCCTCGGCGCTGGGCAAACGCGGAAAACGCTCCTTAGCGTGATGCAGCAGTACTTTGGATAGTTGGGGCTCCCCCTGCAACTGCAGCCATAGGGCGTAACTCGCCAAAGCGCTTCCCAAGCTCGCAGATCCACTGCCGTACCTGTCTCTGGCTGCCAACAACACTTGACCGTATAAAGCAGCTAGCTCATGCCTTCCATAAGCAGACCAAACAGCACTCCTCAAAGCAAGAGCCTCTGATGCGTGGTCGGCAAAGTTGTTGCGGTTAGTGAGATTGTCGCTGTGCTGCAGGAGATCAAAGAGTCTTAGTGGTTGGTAGCCAGCCACTGTTCCTAGCTTTACAGCAAAATGCAGGGCTAAGGTGTAGTTCTGCAGCAGGGATCCGTCAACTTCGTTGGCATCTTGCACGCTCTTTTGTACGGCGGACAAGGGAAGTTCATCTCTGAGCAAACAGTACCAAGTATTGGCAAGGTTGAGGCTCCTTTTGTCGCCGTGCTCCTGGGCCAGCATAATGCTTTCCCTGAGCGCTGCTAGCGCTTCATCGCGATGGCCAAAGGTGGCATGTAGCACCGCCAGATTGACGCAAAAATACTGGTAGCCGTTCTCCTGGCTCATCAGCCTCACGGGACTCCTGTCCAATGCTCTGTGGAGGGCAGATAGAGCATTGTAGTAATCCCTAACTCTCAACTGATTCATGTAGCCAAGGAAATAGGGTGTAGTTATAAGTGGGAGGTCGTGTATGATCTCCTGCACCTTCTTTTGGAGTTCCAAGGGCGGCAAGGCCATACGTTCGTTGTTTTCCAGCAATTCCGACTGTTTGTTGATGAAGAACTTGGCCTGCTTGGGCGCCCATTTGCTCAGGGGATTGCGTTCTTGTGCGATACGAGCAATGACCTCCACTTTTTTTTCAGTTTCAGAATCCGTAGTCTTGTCGTTAATTTGACTCGGAGGAGGGGTCTCCTCCCTGTGCAGAATACCTCCGGCTACGGCCATTCTGGAACCAGAGGCAGCAGCTCGAACTCCTCTCTCGTAATATGAGCAAATGTTCTTGTACATATCCATCATCTCAGGGAAACTGAGGCGCTCCAACACCACCCCCACTCTGCGGACATAAACTCCCACCATGCTGAACTGGCTAATGCCGTAGTTTTCGTTCAGAATCTCGTCGATGTTCTGGATATCCGTGAAGTCAAACAAGGCCTCAATGCTGCCCGCACAAAACTCGGACATGGCTTTTTCGAAGGATTCCAGCATCAGTGTATCCAGTTTGTATTTGCCCGTGGTCAACAAACTATGTAGCTCATTGTAACTCTTATCCTGCTCTTGGACGAGCTTGTACACCAGCATATAGAACATGCGCCGTTTTTGGGTGCGCATGGATATCCCAGTATCCAAACATAACTTTTTGTTCTTAAAAAATGGGAAAACAAAAATGTGTAAGTGGTTTTCACAGTGTAAAAAGTGGGTGCACTTACAATCACATACTGTTTGAGTAGTATCAGCACGGTTATCTTATGCGCCGTAGGCGTCTCGATGCGGGGAGGCTCGATTTTGAACGAGGGGTCCAAGGTGTCCAGCTCCTCGAACAGATTCATGGTTAATTTAGGGCCTTTTATTCGATTTGCCGGCAAAATGTAAACACAAAATCATCTGCCGCAGCCAACTTAGCTTAGCTGGAGCTGCCATGCGGTACGGAGTTCAGCAGTGTGGCAGCCCTAAATGGCGCGTGGTTTTAAAATGTATGGTTCAAAATAAAACACATTATTTATTTACTAAAGCTTTTAACAGGCGTTTCATTCTGAAATTAAATGATTAAAAACAAGCGAGATTAATAGCTGACCCAAGTTGACCGCACATTTTTGCACTGTAAGCACCTAGCACACCTTTAAAAGCCCCAAATAAACTATTACTGATTGCGCGAGCTTTGTCGAACTACCCAAACGATCGTTCAAAGTCCAAAAGGAGACGAAAACACGCCAAATGTACGCTTCTCCAATTTGTATTTGCTTTAAATCAACGAAAGCACAAAGTTCACTAGACAACTACCCTGTTAAACGCTATCCAAATGTGTAAATGTAAAATGTGGAATAGGTAATACAACGAATGCGTCATGGGGACACCCACATACATCCTATAGGACGAAGGGGAAGATGGAGCGGCGCTGGCGAGGGTAGTCCTTGAACTCCTTCCTGTAGTTGCGATGCTTGGCCAAGGCCCAAACGGTCATCTGGAAGGCTCCAGCAAAGGCGAAGAGATAGGCAGCTAGGCAAGAAGTCAGCACAGAGAATGAAACCCAGGCACCGATCTCATAGGTGTAGTTGGGGCAAGAAACAAAGCTGCAGTTTTAAGAGTGCGAATTAATAAACTTGAGATGTGGGTTTCTTTAGTAACTACTTACTCGAACAGCTTGGTCAGGGGATTTTTATCGGCCACCGGAATTTTGCGAACTTTGGTTCCCGGCGGACGCAGGTTGCGCAGGGCAATGTGCACCGAAAAGTTTCCCAGTTCGCAGAGCTGAAAGTGAAAAATGCGCTTATTTTGGTGGTCTGTATATATGAGTAACACATAATAATAATATGATTAGTTCTAGAATAATATGCCAAGTCTATCTACCAAACATAACTTTTCAAACTGCTTAGCCAATAACCGTTTAAACCTTCAATAAAATATTACAATTCAATTACGAAAGCAAACTAAAGATAATAGTTTCTAAAGATATAAAAAATCTACTGAACTTTAAATCAAAGCAATTTAAAAAAGCACAGTTTTGGTATTAAGAAACAAATGTTTCCAACAAAAGCAAAGGAAACCGGTACATTGCGAAAACATATAACCCAGATCCATAAACCATAACCATCAATCAATACGTACAGCGAATGCCCCAAGAGCTGCCCAAACTGTGCACATGCAGGGCGAGGTGAACTGCGGATGGTTCACGTGGTAGGACACATAGGCGGTGAATCCCCAGTAGTATGTGCAGTTCTTGAAGAGATTCCTCAGCGGCATGGTGGCGTGTGAGAAACGGTGGACGAAGATGGTCTCCAGCAGACGCTTCACATAGTGGACCGTGTAGCAGCCGGCGGCAATGCTGAGGCAAAAGAGAAAAGAAAGCGGGTTACTGGGTGAACCACCATCCAAAGTTCGTGTATAATTATGCAGAGCCGTTGCGTTTTAGTTTGCATAAGCGACGAGGTCGATTAGGTCAACAATCGAAAGATTTCAGCGACTACTTTCTACAACTCACTGGGTGGTTAGGGAAATCGGCAGACTGGCAGCTTTGCCGTATACCAATTCCGGTCGGAAGTAGAAAAGCAAGTATACGATCAATGGCCCGGCGTACTCGGCCAGAAAAACTGTCTTCCAGCCAATCTGGGGACCCAGATCCTTCACATAGACCTTGTCGCCGGAACGCAGGGACAGGGATTCCACTGTGTCCGTATCCTTTAAGCTCTTGCCCTTCAGTTCCAAACGCAGCGACTGGCGATTCGCATGCGGGGTCTGCTTCAGGCTCTTGTGGATTAGGGCGCGCAGATCACCGATGGGCGTGGCGCCGGAGGGCACCTTCACCTTGCCGTACGGCTTACTGTTCTTGGCATTCAAAATCTCCAGCTCCATTTTGCGTTCGGTGCGCTTGCAATCAGTACTGTCCAAAATCGAAAATCGCCGATCCGCAGTGTGACCGTGCTAGGCTCTGCCAAAATTAACTTTATGGGAAAATGGCCAAACGGGGAAAGCACGGTGGAATATATACAATATATTTTCCAGGTTTCTGTTACTTCTGCAGAGATATACCCAATTTAATAGGGAAAAGTTTTTTTTGGCTAAAAGGAAATATAGCTACTTTAACTTTAAAATGGATTGACAAAAAGCTTGTGGAAGATTATGCCCTGCGTTGCCATATAGTCTGTATATTTTATCCCACTTAAAAAACTTCAAAAATAATAAAAATGGAAATGGAAATAGCAGTCGTTGCCGCAACGCTCAACACATCACACTTTTCAGACACCTTTTACATACACAAAATTACTTTATAAATTTCCAGTCAAGCAGCGACTTTCAAAATTATAGCCGGTTAAGAAGACAGCGCTATTTCAAAAGTAAACTAACAAGGGTCTTAAATTCTAAAACACCAATCCCTAGCAAGCCTTGGATTATGTGAGTATAGATCAAGGGTGGCATTGTAATCAAAGTCAATGTAAAAGTAGGTTGTCTTGCTAGAGAATTTCATTCAGCCGGTCAAGTCAGTACGATAAAGGTCTCGATTTGAAATTGTCTTAAAAATATTTTATTGTTTTGTATTGTATTGTGGTGAGTTAAAAGCATAAAAACAAGAAAAAAAAGTGCTAAAAAAGCTTAAACCTAAAATAAAAAAAAAATCCAAAAACATTTCGGTATAAATGTTTGCTATGTATTAAAGCGTTAGAAATTCTTTGTGGTATTTTTTAGTGCTTTTTAACCTAGACCAAAGGTATATAAGCTGCCTTCGCGCACGGTCCCATTTAAAATCATTTGAGACTTGAAGCAGCAAGTACACGCATAAAGTAAGACGCACTCAGCGAGAAAGTATTTAATTGTTGGTGAACCTAATAATAATTATAATTAAAAGAACCTTCTCGAAAGTCACAAAAAAACGTAAGTTTTGATCCCCTTGTTTCCAACTAGTTATAAGAACAATAAGACGAAGAATTTAACGAAAAAAAAAAACCTTTCAAGGTTTTTGTTCGGCCATTTTCTTTCTTATTCAACCCTCTCCCTAATTAGAAAATAAGAAATTGGCAGCTACGCATCTCGTTTTCCCATCGATTTGGCATTAAAACACAAACAAATCTATAAATAAAAGTTGCGTCTCGATTTTCGCCAAGATTTATTGGCAAATTGTGAAATTCGCAGTGACGCATTTGAAAATTCGAGAATTTACGTACGCATTTGTGTGCATTTAATTACTTAGGTAATTCTAGCATTTAGCCAACGTAATCAGGTTATTTTACTCGAAATAAAATCGTTTGTTCAAACAAAGCCACGTCTGAAAATTTCCAATTGCTTGCATTTCTCTGACGTCAGCAGCATACACACCAAATAGTGTGTATGTATGCTTCTCAAGCTGCATATATGTATGTACATGCACACACTAACACACGAAAACGGTGACGAAGCGACGGAACAAAGGTTTCCCAACTACCCTTTGTTTCCCCGTTTCTTCGCTTCCCTTTGTTTCAATATTCGTAAGCCCCTACTTCTCAACAAAGTTTGCGTTGATAAGTTGGTTTCCCATTTTTATTGCCCAGCCAGGAAGTTTCTAGATGTGTAATTTCAACTAAACAATCTGAATTCGTACTAACTTTCCATCTTTCGATTTTATGCCCGCAGAATAATCCAAAATGCAGATCTTTGTGAAGACCTTGACTGGAAAGACAATCACTTTGGAGGTGGAGCCCTCGGATACCATCGAGAATGTGAAGGCCAAGATTCAGGATAAGGAGGGAATTCCTCCAGATCAGCAGCGTCTGATCTTTGCCGGCAAGCAGCTGGAAGACGGACGCACCCTGTCCGATTACAACATCCAGAAGGAGTCGACCCTTCACTTGGTTCTCCGTCTGCGTGGTGGTATGCAAATCTTCGTGAAGACCCTGACTGGCAAGACCATCACTTTGGAGGTGGAGCCTTCCGATACCATTGAAAACGTGAAGGCCAAAATCCAAGATAAGGAGGGAATCCCCCCAGATCAGCAGCGTCTGATCTTTGCCGGCAAGCAGCTGGAAGACGGACGCACCCTGTCCGATTACAACATCCAGAAGGAGTCGACCCTTCACTTGGTTCTCCGTCTGCGTGGTGGTATGCAGATCTTCGTGAAGACCCTGACTGGCAAGACCATCACCCTCGAAGTGGAGCCATCGGACACTATTGAGAATGTGAAGGCTAAGATTCAAGACAAGGAGGGAATCCCCCCAGATCAGCAGCGTCTGATTTTCGCCGGCAAGCAGCTCGAGGATGGACGCACTCTTTCTGACTATAACATACAGAAGGAGTCGACCCTTCACTTGGTTCTCCGTCTGCGTGGTGGTATGCAAATCTTCGTGAAGACCCTGACTGGCAAGACCATCACTTTGGAGGTGGAGCCTTCCGATACCATTGAAAACGTGAAGGCCAAAATCCAAGATAAGGAGGGAATCCCCCCAGATCAGCAGCGTCTGATTTTCGCTGGCAAGCAACTGGAAGACGGACGCACCCTGTCCGATTACAACATCCAGAAGGAGTCGACCCTTCACTTGGTTCTCCGTCTGCGTGGTGGTATGCAGATCTTCGTGAAGACCCTGACTGGCAAGACCATCACCCTGGAAGTGGAGCCATCGGACACTATTGAGAATGTGAAGGCTAAGATCCAAGATAAGGAGGGAATCCCTCCAGATCAGCAGCGTCTGATTTTCGCCGGCAAGCAACTGGAAGACGGACGCACCTTGTCCGATTACAACATCCAGAAGGAGTCGACCCTTCACTTGGTTCTCCGTCTGCGTGGTGGTATGCAGATCTTCGTGAAGACGCTGACTGGCAAGACCATCACTTTGGAGGTGGAGCCTTCAGATACCATTGAAAACGTGAAGGCCAAAATCCAAGATAAGGAGGGAATCCCTCCAGATCAGCAGCGTCTGATTTTCGCCGGCAAGCAACTGGAAGACGGACGCACCTTGTCCGATTACAACATCCAGAAGGAGTCGACCCTTCACTTGGTTCTCCGTCTGCGTGGTGGTATGCAGATCTTCGTGAAGACGCTGACTGGCAAGACCATCACTTTGGAGGTGGAGCCTTCAGATACCATTGAAAACGTGAAGGCCAAAATCCAAGATAAGGAGGGAATCCCTCCAGATCAGCAGCGTCTGATTTTCGCCGGCAAGCAACTGGAAGACGGACGCACCCTGTCCGATTACAACATCCAGAAGGAGTCGACCCTTCACTTGGTTCTCCGTCTGCGTGGTGGTATGCAAATCTTCGTGAAGACCCTGACTGGCAAGACCATCACCCTGGAAGTGGAGCCATCGGACACTATTGAGAATGTGAAGGCTAAGATCCAAGATAAGGAGGGAATCCCTCCAGATCAGCAGCGTCTGATTTTCGCCGGCAAGCAACTGGAAGACGGACGCACCCTGTCCGATTACAACATCCAGAAGGAGTCGACCCTTCACTTGGTTCTCCGTTTGCGTGGTGGTATGCAAATCTTCGTGAAGACCCTGACTGGCAAGACCATCACCCTCGAAGTGGAGCCATCGGACACTATTGAGAATGTGAAGGCTAAGATCCAAGACAAGGAGGGAATCCCCCCAGATCAGCAGCGTCTGATTTTCGCCGGCAAGCAGCTCGAGGATGGACGCACTCTTTCTGACTATAACATCCAGAAGGAGTCGACCCTTCACTTGGTTCTCCGTCTGCGTGGTGGTATGCAAATCTTCGTGAAGACCCTGACTGGCAAGACCATCACTTTGGAGGTGGAGCCTTCCGATACCATTGAAAACGTGAAGGCCAAAATCCAAGATAAGGAGGGAATCCCCCCAGATCAGCAGCGTCTGATTTTCGCTGGCAAGCAACTGGAAGACGGACGCACCCTGTCCGATTACAACATCCAGAAGGAGTCGACCCTTCACTTGGTTCTCCGTCTGCGTGGTGGTATGCAAATCTTCGTGAAGACCCTGACTGGCAAGACCATCACCCTGGAAGTGGAGCCATCGGACACTATTGAGAATGTGAAGGCTAAGATCCAAGATAAGGAGGGAATCCCTCCAGATCAGCAGCGTCTGATTTTCGCCGGCAAGCAACTGGAAGACGGACGCACCCTGTCCGATTACAACATCCAGAAGGAGTCGACCCTTCACTTGGTTCTCCGTCTGCGTGGTGGTATGCAAATCTTCGTGAAGACCCTGACTGGCAAGACCATCACCCTCGAAGTGGAGCCATCGGACACTATTGAGAATGTGAAGGCTAAGATCCAAGACAAGGAGGGAATTCCCCCAGATCAGCAGCGTCTGATTTTCGCCGGCAAGCAGCTCGAGGATGGACGCACTCTTTCTGACTATAACATCCAGAAGGAGTCCACTTTGCACTTGGTTCTCCGTCTGCGTGGTGGTATGCAGATCTTCGTGAAGACCCTGACTGGCAAGACCATCACCCTGGAAGTGGAGCCATCGGACACTATTGAGAATGTGAAGGCTAAGATCCAAGATAAGGAGGGAATCCCTCCAGATCAGCAGCGTCTGATTTTCGCCGGCAAGCAACTGGAAGACGGACGCACCTTGTCCGATTACAACATCCAGAAGGAGTCGACCCTTCACTTGGTTCTCCGTCTGCGTGGAGGTATGCAAATCTTCGTGAAGACCCTGACTGGCAAGACCATCACCCTCGAAGTGGAGCCATCGGACACTATTGAGAATGTGAAGGCTAAGATCCAAGACAAGGAGGGAATCCCCCCAGATCAGCAGCGTCTGATTTTCGCCGGCAAACAGCTCGAGGATGGACGCACCTTGTCCGATTACAACATCCAGAAGGAGTCCACTTTGCACTTGGTGCTCCGTCTCCGCGGAGGAATGCAGGCTTAAACTAAATACATTTCCAAATAAACACAAATTTAGCACGCACTTTACCCGAGACTCATGATAAATACTAGGAAGCAATGGATGGCCACTTTCCTTTCTGTATTGAAAGGGAAGACATCAGCAAAATTCTAAATTCCAGTAAATACCAGGATATATATATTTGATGAATTCTAAATTTCTTTATTGAATTTAAACCACAAAATAAACGAAGTTATTTAAAATTCGCTATTTTATTGGGGCCCTTTTTTTTCCATTTACTTTTGGTATATACTGACATACTACAATTGGTATAATGCAGCCCTGGTTGTGTAAGATGGAGGCGTTAGTACCTATTCATTATTTACCTTTTGCAAAAATAAATACGTTTAATTCTGTGCAAGAAGAAATGGCTAAATTATTGCAACGCGTCGAAATTACGTTGCGCAGCTTTTACATTTTTAACTCGAGCTTTGGCCAAGTAGAAGGCGAGGTGGGCAAATCTATTCAAAGCCAAATCTATACGCCCCTAATGAGTAATTATTACAGGAACATAAGAAGGTTTTGTTCTACCATCCAAATGATATTGAATTAAACACGAAAATGAAGGATGTGGGACTAAGTGAGGCCATCATAAGGTTCACTGGGTATATATGGAACTTTTTACTTAGTAAGAGGCGTGTGATGATAAGGATTTGCTGTACTTGCAGAACTTTTACCTCCGAAGATGATTGCCAGGCATTGCATACCCAGAAAACCACGCAACTTTTCTACCAACCCGAGCCAGGATATTGGCTAGTATTGGTCCTGAATGTTCCCAAGGAGGTGCGATTAAAGGAGGGCGTGGAGGTGGCCGATTACCGGGGTGCCGAGATATCCGACAGGATTTATAGATCAATACTTAGGCAATGCTATCAAATGTTTCGTTTTCAAAACGGATGGTTCTCCTCCTTTGGAAGTGAGGAATCTAATCCGGATAAGCGCAGGGAACTGCTCTGCCAGAAGCTGCTCCAGTTTTATGAACAGTACCTGTCCAACCTGAGGGATCCGTCGCAATGTGATATCATCGATATGCTGCATTCCATTCAATATCTTCCCCTGGATAAATCGCTCTTTTTGCGTGCCCAAAACTTTGGCACTCTGTGTGAGACCTTTCCCGACATCAAGGAAAGCATATTGCTCTACCAGGAGCAGGTCCTTTGTGGCGGAAAACTCAGCCCGGAAGATCTGCACTGCGTACACTCGTATGTCGTGCAACACGTGCTAAAGATGGAGGCCAGCAGCTCCTCCATTGCAGTTTCTCCTTCACTGAAGCGAAGCATAAGTGAATGTCAGGTGGGCGGATTCGTAAGGAGGCGGCCGAAGGGCGAGGGAGATGAGCACGAGGTTGTAAATGAGGAAGATCATCCCCTGAAGGTCTACATCACATTGGACAAGGAGGCCAAAGCGTACTACCTGCTCATCTACCGCGCTTTGCACATAACTGTGTGTCTGTTTTTGGATGGTATGTTAAGAACTAACACTAAATAACCAAATAACACCAAATAAATAACTAAAAACATTCCTAATCTGCCAGCTGTCCAGCCTGCGCCGAAACAAGATCTCTACGACGAACTACATGGTTACATGGCTCCCCAACTGACTTCGTTGGCCCGGGATATATCCAGCGAGTTAACTAAGGAGGCGGTGGGTGCTGCAGGCCAGGAAAACTCCACCGGAAACAGCGAAACGGCACCCAAGTACTTGTTCATCAACGAACAGAGCTTGCAGCACCACACGAACTTTCAGAGGCATCTGCCCCAGGGACTGCCCCGCAATGTGCTCAGTATCATTGCGGATTTGGCTAATGACAGTGGCAAGGCGGAAATGGAGAGTGCTCCTGCCGAGGAAGTTCAGGTGAAGACAACTAATGACTATTGGATTGTGAAGCGGCGCTGTAACTATAGGCAGTACTATGTGATCCTGTGCAATAGCAAGGCTACTTTGTTGGACGTCACCCAGGAAGCGAGGCGCATTTTCGAGCAAGAGCTCACAGATGATGTATTTTTTGAAAAATAAACAGGAGAATTAGGTAAATAAAGGGAGTGCGCCAATTGTGGGGTCTTTGCCCGGTTGCCTGCCAACAGAAGCTGCAAGTGGGCCGGACATCCGACGACGGATTTCAAGCCAGCACCGCCCCGGAATCGCTGGCATCGTTATACACGCTGTTCGACGAGGAGGAGCTCGTGGTCGTGGTGACTCCGTTCTGCGATTTGCTGATCTTGACAATGTATATTCGACGATTGGACATGCAGATGTTGTAGTAATGCTGTTCGTAGTCGATGGTGATTCTCTCACAGCTGCTGTTCGGCATGAATGACTCGTCAATGCTAAAATAAAGGTAATATTATAGGAAAATTCCTTCATTCATTGTTTGGAAACCCACCTCTCTGTAAGATTCAGCAATCCCATTATCACATTTGCACTGCGCTCATCGTTCTTCAGATCTCCGCCGGATTCCAGAACTGCTCCATCTTCCTTTAGTATCAGATACCCAATTTGATTCGGCACAATCGACTTTTCCCTGTCCATTTTCAACAATATTTATTTATTTATCTTCTGCACCCACACCCACAAGTGTGACCAGACTAGTCCCGAAAATTACATCAACATTTAAATACCAAATCGTTAGCCTGGCAAGCCGGCTTTAGTGTTGTAAATCGTCAACTGCGCGCCATTGACACAAATTCGAAATTGGGACACCGGGCTAAGGTTAATTCATGCAAAAGACAAACAACGCACATCAACAGGAAACTAAAACTCCGGCTCTAAGTCAACAGGGGGCGTGGTCGATAAGGGGGCGTGTGCAGGTGCATGGCTAATGCGACCGTCTGGCGAAAAAGTGGTAAAAGGCCATGGACAAGGAAATTCCGGACACAGTCTCTCCGGAATGGCCAACTACTATCGACGCAAGAAGGGTGACGCGGTGTTCCTAAACGCAAAACCGCTGAACAGTGCTAATGCCCAGGCATACTTGTACGGGGTCCGCAAATACTCCATTGGATTGGCGGAGCGTTTGGATGCGGACTACGAAGCTCCTCCGTTGGATAGGAAGAAGAGCTCGGAAAGCACGGCCTCCAACAATCCGGAATTTACACCGGTGTGTGGTCTTCTATGCTGTTAAAATCGCTGTGTAAAACTGGATATCGCTGTTTTCAGAGTGTTTTCTACAGGAACATTGCTCCCGTCAATTGGTTCTTGAGGATTATTGGAGTATTACCCATCGTGCGACATGGCCCTGCTCGTGCCAAGTTCGAAATGAACTCCGCCTCCTTTATTTACTCAGTGGTTTTCTTTGTGCTTTTGGCGGTGAGTGAGTTTCGGTTACATAACTAAATTTACAACATTTTCAAGATTTAAACTTCGGTTTAACATAGTTAGAACGTTTTGTATACCATTATGTAACCTAAACACCTTTTTTTTTTAGTGTTATGTTGGCTATGTGGCCAACAATCGCATCCACATTGTGCGATCCTTGAGTGGACCTTTCGAAGAGGCGGTGATTGCCTACCTGTTTCTGGTCAACATCCTGCCCATTATGATTATACCAATTTTGTGGTACGAGGCCAGGAAGATAGCAAAACTGTTCAATGATTGGGATGACTTTGAGGTGTTGTACTACCAGATATCCGGACATAGTTTGCCTCTGAAACTGCGGCAGAAAGCGGTGTATATTGCCACCGTGCTGCCAATCCTCTCGGTTTTATCGGTGGTCATCACGCACATCACCATGTCGGACCTGAACATCAACCAGGTGGTGCCCTACTGCATCCTGGACAACTTGACTGCCATGCTGGGTGCCTGGTGGTTCCTCATCTGCGAGGCCATGAGCATTACGGCTCATCTTTTGGCGGAGCGGTTCCAGAAGGCACTGAAACACATTGGACCCGCTGCCATGGTGGCGGACTATCGGGTTTTGTGGCTTCGACTGAGCAAGTTGACCCGGGATACTGGAAACGCCTTGTGCTACACCTTCGTTTTCATGAGCCTCTACCTGTTCTTTATCATTACTCTTTCGATTTATGGACTAATGTCCCAGCTGTCTGAGGGATTTGGCATCAAGGACATAGGACTGACTATAACCGCTTTGTGGAACATAGGACTGCTCTTCTATATCTGCGATGAGGCACATTATGCCTCTGTTAATGTACGAACCAATTTCCAGAAGAAGCTACTCATGGTAGAGCTAAACTGGATGAACTCGGATGCCCAGACGGAGATAAATATGTTTTTGCGAGCCACCGAAATGAATCCATCGACCATCAATTGTGGTGGCTTTTTTGATGTGAACAGAACCCTTTTCAAAGGACTTTTAACCACAATGGTCACATATCTGGTGGTCTTGCTGCAGTTTCAGATCAGTATCCCCACAGACAAGGGGGATTCTGAAGGCGCTACTAATATCACCGTGGTGGACTTTGTAATGGACAGCCTGGACAACGATATGAGCCTAATGGGAGCCAGCACTCCGAGTACCACCACTGCAGGAACCACTTCGCCACCGCCAATTATGAAGCAAAAGGGCCGGAAAGGGTAATGGAACAAATAATCTTAAGAAAAGAACGATATTATTAGAAATGTGCATCTGTAGCTGCGGCCAAATAATAAAAGCACCCGAAACGGCAAGCTCCAAACTTTTTTCTAAAATTAGTAAGTGTGGAACTCATAAAAACACGTTCATTAGATATGTTACAATTTTGCACTTTTATTTGATACTCATACTTTTTTCGTTCTGTGCTACCAAATAGATATACTTAAAATATTGCTAGTCAACATAATTTAAGGCATATTATAGTACAGTAGTTGTAATTCTACAGAGAAACTGAGCTTTAAACTTCGATGCTATTATTTGAACGCCAATTTATATAGGACAAGATTTTGGTTTTAAATCAACCTCGGCTTCTGCGAGAATTTCGCTGCCGTAGCCTAGAGGTTAGAGAGTGCGACTTTCGCTTGGAAGTTCCGAGTTCGAGTCGTGTTAGTGACTAATTGTTATTTTTTTAAAAATTCATTTTAGGTGCTTTGAG